AGTTGCTAGAAGGCCAGATCATTATAAACGTCTGAATAGCACAACATACCTAAGTATCGTTGCTGATCAGGTGCATCCTATCATGTTGATGGCGTATCCCAATGGAGATGGCGTCTTCCAACAAGACAATGCGCCATGCCACGGTGCTCATATTGTGCAGGAGTGGTTTCAAGAACATGAGGGAGACTTTACCTTGCTTAGGTGGCCCCCACAATCACCAGATCTCAATCCAATTGAGCATTTGTGGGATGAAGTTAAAAGAGCTATCAGGCAGCTGGTTCCACAACCATGAAATCTCACAGAACGGGACAGTGCTATTCATCAGGCAGGTGTCAGGCTCCTCGCATCACCTTTCAGCATCTCGTGGAGTCAATGCCAAGAAGAATTGCCGCAGTATCGAAGGCAAAAGGTGGCCCAACGAAGTACTGATGGGGTGGTCATGATAATCTGGCCGGTAATACTAATCTGGCCACTCAGTGTATATACCATTAAACTGTTTGCTTGCTCCAGGCTCTTTTTCAAGCAAGAAATAAATGTCCATATTATTTAAGCCATTATACTGTTTGGGTCTGTTTGTTACAGCAGCTGGCCCACCTTAACACAAGCTGCAAATGGATATGCTCTTAGAGATGCCCTGGCTCAGACATGGAGTTAGCAGAGGTCTTTGTGTTGTGATAAAGGACACTAATGGTCAAGAAGAGGCCCACTCCCCATGCCTTCTTGACTTCCATTTCACCATGTGGGTTTCATTATTTTGGATAAAGATATACTACTTCTAAGAAACTTCTTTTAAAACAACTGTATCATCTGAAAAGATTAAGCCACTGCCATCCATAAACCCCCTTAACATACATGACTTTCTTACATTTATTTCTCAAGAAATACCTAATGAAGAGCAGAGAAAGAGACCCAGGCAGTGAAATGTTGAAGGGCAGGTTGGGAGAGATGGAGAAATATCTGGAGGATGGAAATATCTGTTTCCAAAAGAAACAGAAGTCTGGGCAGTAGTCAGTGGAAGGTGGGGCCCTGGAGAAACCTTGATGAGTGAAGGGGAAGGGCAAAAGGTTCAAAGAGGGGGGACGAAGGCATTGAAAGCAAACCTTTCTTGATAATTTGCTGAATGCTGGTCCTCAGATCAGGTGCTTTGGCCCACCCTTTCCTTACACTTTAAGCAAGTCGTCTGGATGGTCCAGTATACGTACAGATGTGCACACGGCCCCTCGGGAAAGCGCTGGTGAAAATCATGACGCTGGGGTTTGTTCACACCCTACCTGCCCTTTCAGAAATTGGGTATTTTGACTATTTTCAGTCAATACCTTATTTAGAGATTCCTCTAACAATAATCACTACTATTTTAGCTTATGCCCCTATTTTCCTTCCATAGCTCCTGGAAAGGACAGACAGATGGGCAGGGCAAGGCCACAGAGTCATTGGCACCAAAAGTCAATCATCAAATAATTCAACTGCATTTGTCCATTCATTATTTTTAAAACAACTATGTACATATTACAGAATCCATTTTATGGTTAAAAATATTAACAGAACATGAAAATTACAATAATTAAACATAACATTAAATATCTGCATCCAAATTTGTACACGCTGGGAGATAGCTGTGTATTCAGGGTTAGCAAATCTTGGGCTCACTGCCCCTACTGAATGTTGGCTATGATGCCCCCTCACTAATGCCAGCAGTGGAGTGGCCAGTGTCCCTCATGGAGTTGAGGACTCTACTTTCCTGATCAATAGAAAATTTTATTGGTCCTACCCTATGCCACATAGATGCTTCTTCTATTAGTTGTCTGTTGCTGCCATAACAAGTTACTACAAACTTAGTAACTTAAACAACAAACATTTACTTCGTTACAGGTCTGAAGGTCAGAAGTTCGACTCTGGATTCAACATATAAAAACAAGTTGTTGGCAGGGCTGCATTTCTTCCCGCAGGCTGCAGGCTCCGGGGGAGAATCTGTTTCCTTACTCATTGAGGTTGTTGGCAGAATCCAGTTCCTTGTGGTTATAGGACTGAGGTTCCAGTCTCCTTGCTGGTAATCTGCTGGGGCTGCCCTTAACTCCTGGAGGCTTCTCTCAGGTCCTTGCACTTAGTTCCCTACATTTCAGAACCAACAACAGGGTTTTGAACCTTTTTTATGCTGCCATCTCTCTCACCCCTATTTTTCCTTCTTATTCTTCTTGTAAGGACTCATTATATTACATTGGGCCCATCCAGGTAATCCCAGGTTCTCTTCCCATTATAAGGCCCAGCACCTTAACCACAGAAGCAGACAAGTACAGGAAGACCAAGGGGGTACTGGACTGGGCACATCTGCCCTCAGTTTCTCCCCTGCTCACAAATGGAGCAGCTTCTTTTTCCATGGAAGACTTGGGCCGGTATTCCCCAGACTGAGGCAATGTCATCTGGAGCCATTCTTGAAAATACTAGGACCCCGTTTGGAAACGCTTCAAAGGCTGCTTGATTAGACTGCTGGGAAACCTCCCGTAGGGAGCTCAAACAGATTCCCCTGCTGCTCACAGAAGTCTTTCTTTTCGCTCCCATTTCTGGGACATGCTTGTTCTGTCCCCAGTGGTCCCTTCTGATAGGACAGGCCCTCATCTTTGCTGAAGTTGATGTGCAAAAGGAGCATCAAAAAGTCCTGAAATTCTTCCCATAACCTCAGCTAGAGGGGAATTCAAGATTGTGCAGCACCAGTTAACAGAGCAGTGAGGGAAAGGCGTTGTTTGGTGCCTGGTAACATTATGGCCCAGATCAGTAACTGCCTGGGTGAGAGTAAGAACTCCAATACCTTCATCTAGCACCCGCTCTTCATCCTTTAGGAGAGTATCTATGGGAACCATCAAAAGGTTCAAAGTCATGGCTCATGGAGGTGCCAACCATTGTTAAGAAAATTATTTCTCTGCACAGGTGTGAGCTGACTGTGGCGAGGGCACTTGGCAGAGAGCGGTGAGCTCTGTCCTATTGGTGGGACTTTGCTGACTTGCCTTGATAATGGCGGGAACTCTTAGATTGATGGCCTTACCACTGAGCTCGCTCTAGATTTACTTATCTTGTATTATTATTTTTTAGGGCTTCCAGGAAAGGCAGTATGTGTGCAAATATCAGTCCCTGTGAGTGCCAGAGCCCCACAGGCAGAGATGCTGATGGGGCCTGTGGTGCTGTCCGCCGCCACGTCCAGGCCGAACTGGGAAACACCACTGATTGTGTCTCCCTCGGGGGGCAGCGGCCAGCATAGCCCCTGGATTTAGAACAATCCAGGACAGAAACTCTATGTAATTCTTATGCTTAAAACGTCATCAACCTCACTGGACTGCCCATAAGCTCCCTGTGGCTGGAACATCCTTCCTCCTGTCATCACTGCTTCCACAGCACACAGCTAGGGCCATCCCACCCTGAACGTCCCTGGTCTCGGACGCTCAGCAGGATCAGCCTGGATAGGACTTGGGAGGGAGCTTGCTTTAGATTTAACTCCAAGGAACATTTGCTAAAAGCTGGGGTGGCCCTCACGCTGGCTCACGGGTTCCTGTGGTCATCACAGTTCCTACAAGAGCTCATCTTTTCCCACCACTTCAAGAACTCACAGCCTTGATGTTCCTACAGATGAAGTCCTTTCGTTTTATTTATTTATTTTTGGTCATGCTGTGAAAGCAAAGTGCCCCAGAGTCTCTTTATCAAACCCTGAGTGGCAACTCATTCCCAAGTGGAGGCCAGAACTTTTCCTTTCTTTCCCTGATCCTTGACTTTGAACGTTATCACAACGCAGAAGTGTCTTTTGAAACACCACACTGTTCAAATGTTTGTCTTTACCTCAGTGTAGGATAAATCCAGACTGGCAGGCACACTGTAGGTGTGCTAACATTCCCATTTGCCTGAGTTACTAAACATTGCACAAAACTTTTCACCTTTGTCAGCTCATTTGTGTGAGTCTAGTTAATATAATTAATGATGGTATCTAGCCTATAAGTGGAAACGGATGAGCTTATGGGTTTGGAATACTAACAGTTCTGAGTTTGCTTTCCTGCTCCATCCCTGAACTCAAGCTCAGGGTGATCTGGAAAGACTGTTTAGTCTAAGTATCAGTTTCCTCATGTGTAAACTAAGGATAATGATACTTACATGCAGGGCTGATGTGAGATATACGTAATCTGATGCATAGGAAGCACTAACCCACAGTACAATGACTATGTATTAAATGTTGTCACTTTTGTTAGCAAGACTAAACCATCCACTGTGAGTCGTTAAATGCTATGTCTTGCACAAGATGATAATGTTATTGGAGGGTATATAAAGACTTTTTTTAAAAAAATATCTCTTGTTTCTTTTGGAACAGAAAAAAACAAAACAACAACAACAAACCATGAATGACTAGCACCATTCTCTTAACCTAATCTTTTATAAAGCAGAGGTATATGACCAAAACAACAGGTTGAACATTGCTTGTATGGTCGGGGGCTAACTGTGCTATGTACGGTCATGAATGCAAGCTTGTAGGAACCCAGCAAATCCAGAATGGCCTTGAAATTCAGCCACTAAATGAACAAAGATCTCAAGCAAAGCTGCTGGGAGTCCAGACGAAGCAGTGCTGCCTGGGGGAGCAGAATTTCCTGGGCAGAGCAGCGCCCTGGCCCCGGCCTCCTCCCGGGAGAGCCCTGCCTCTATGAATACACATTCAAAGACTTGAAAACACAGAGCAGCCTCACAACCCACTTACTGTGCACGGACTGGGGTGGGGAGGCACAGCACTTCCTGGCAGGCATTTAAGCCTCAACAATAAAACACCTATAAGCCCCTCTGAGGGAACGAGAACTCGCGCTGGACTTCTCCTATAGAAGGAAGGGGCCTCCACCCATTTGATGAATCGCACTTGAGCAATCTCCTGACATCTGAGGCTGGCACTGGTTCTGAAATTTCCCCGTTGCATTTCTCACTTTCAGTAAGAGAATATGCGTTAGATATGGTTCCAGTATTAGAAGTGCTCAGCCCTTTTTTGAATGTCTCTCCTGTTGAATGATCTCCTAGAGAAAAGAAGATTCCAAATCAACAGCTCAATTAAAAACACTTCCCTGGATCCGAGGGAGCGGGGAGTGGCATGTTATTTCAGTCGGCACAGGACTGGGGAGGAGTCCAGTTTTTCTTGGGACTAAGGAGTTGCCTGAAATCGCCACCCAAAGCCTCTGTTCGCTGAATAATAGTCCTGATTGCAAGGTTCCAACTCTCACTCAGGGAAATAGAGTAGGGGAGAGATGGCAACAGTTGGCTCCGAAATTTCCTTGAGACAAAAGTGCCAGGTCTGAGGAAGGGCAGCCCGCTTGTATTCTGCCTGACACAAGTGTGACATGCGCACGCATTTGCCCACCACACAGTGGGTACACGTGTGCCACCAAAGCAGTGGGCTTCCTGTGCTAGGACTTAGATTCGTTCCAATTTCCACTGTTCCTCTCCTCGCCAACTTTTTCTCCTCCTCGCCACACCCAGATCTCTTTCCAAAGGATTCATTCCGGTAACACTTTCACAGAGAGAACGGGCTTTACTTGGTGACTTTTGGTTTACAGGATCGTTGGTGAACAATCAGTCTGTCTGGCAGGAAGGTACGCCCACAAATATTGCAGGGAACCAACTGGCTCTGGGCACTTCTCCAAGCAGCTTCATTTAAGGCCTCGAGATCATAGAAACCTTTGGCTGGGAAGTTAAAGAAAAAAAAGAAAGAAAGAAAAGGAAAAGAAAATGGTAAAATGGATCCGTTTTCATTGTGGAGAACCATATTCTACTTTTTATGGAAAATATTTTCAGGAAATACCTGTTGACTGAGGCTTTGAAACAAGTATATTACTTTGGCCAAAAAAAAAAAAAAAAAGAAAGTGCTGTTCACTCAAGGGTTGAGGAAAGTTTGCTATGAACCAGAGGCGTTTTGCTCCCTGGGTTTTAAAAAGGGAAAGACATTGTTTTATGTGCTACGATATGCATTCTGTACTAATTATTAACATCTTTGCTTACACACTATTATGTTGCAAACATAACTCTTGGCCTTCTTTCAGTTGACTCTAAATATAAACTTACAAAGGAAAGAGAACATGTATTTGTATTTTCCTCTTCCGTAATCCTTCAGTGGAATGTTTTTAGAGGCCCACACTGACAGTCACGAGTGAATTTAAGATAAATTATATCATAAAAATTTATCATCTCTTTAAGGCCATAAACTCGGAGATTCTTTAAGTAATTAAAGTGAAGAATGCAAACAGAATAGTTAATCTGACGAAAAGAAGTGCCCTTAGGAAAACAAAGAAGACAGCTGAAAGATGTATAATCTTCATTGGCAGAGCAGAGGAAAAAGGCATATGGCTTTATTTTAGAGAAACAGTGTGGGATTTAGCTTTAATGAACCTTATTTAAATAGAACTACTTTAGTACATTAAATTGACTATGTCTTAGAATCTCCCAAAATAGGCCCCCAAAGTACAGCCGGGTCCTCAAAAATATATAACATAGTTTTTCTCATTTTCATAGCATATATTTCCTCGTGAAAGCCCAGGCAATTCTCAGATGATTTCTGTCTAATGGTTCACACCACCATAGTAAACTTCAGATTCCTTAACATGCCTACTTCAATTATTGGTTTCTTTTCTTCATGGAAAATGAATTAAAATCCAGCAAATCTAGTATTTCTCCTTTGGATAAAGCAAGTATCAATTTCTACATAGGATATGAAAGTGTTTTTCAGTGCTTTGAAAACGGTTGCAAAAATAATGGCACTGACTTTCTTCTTACTCATAAGGTTTAAAATGGACTAAAAATTCCAGACTATTCATTGTCAGATGATTCATCACATCTCTCATGGTGTTTGCATAGGGCTCTGACTTCGGATCTGTAGGAAAGGTTATTTGAACTCTTTGGCTACAGTAACTCCATGGGGTGGAAGTGGTCATGGGAATTCTCTTGGTCTAGAGAGGAAAGACCCCTTCAGAAATAAAAATAACCCAAGTTCAACAGGAAAATCACAGGGGGTGTAGTTAAAGGGTCTAATTTTTCCAACAATAATAGATGAAGGAACCCACTAGGGCTTTCAAAATGATCATTTCTTACACCTCTTCTAGACTTGTAATAATTATGTTCAAGCAGAGAAAGTGATAAAGATCAGAAGTGAACAAAACACATTTGTGATATCAAATGAGAATTGCTGGGAGAGAGCTTCAACGAGGCAAACAATCTTTTTGTATGCAAATGCTCTAATTTTCATCTTGAGTTTTTTCCCCCATCTCTACTCAGAGTCCTTCTCTTAGCAAGAACTGTGAAAAGTTGAATTATAGAAGCATCTAGAACAACAGTTCTCAACCTGTGGGTCGCGACCCTTTGGGGGTCGAATGACCCTTTCACAGGGGTCGCCTAAGACCATCAGAAAACACATATATAATTACATAGATAATCTAAATTCCATTCTGTGGGTTGTTAAAAACTCTTTTTGGCCACATCTCTAATAGGAGTGCTTTGGACTAAATGATACTAAATAACCTCCAAGGAACCTTCCAGCTCTGGAAATCTATGGCTACATAAGGAGAATGGATGAACTAAATACTCCTCCTCTTAAAACCAAGAATGATACTCTTTTGAGGGGAATTAGAGGATCGACTGAGAATATGACAATGGTAAAAATGAGAAAGTCAGAGCTTATATGACAAAAATATTCTCTGAACTACTTTATTCTTATACCCTAACAGAATATGCATAAGGTTCTGTAACAAGGCCACACATGGTAGTGTATGGAGTTCCAGGTTCATCTGGCTTGTGCACTGCTTAACAAAGTACTACTGGTAAAATTTTTAAAATGTGGCTATTTCATACAGATGTCTAGATTTCCAGTTTCTTTTGTATTTTTGAAAGGCATAGCCCTACTGGGTTAAATTTCTTAATGATAACACCAGCTGAAACTGGGCAGCAGCTGTCTACTTTAGAGGGAGCTAGTACTTTCCAGCTCCCATAGTCTTCACTGCCCCGCTTTTCATACCTGGACCAATTTATTCCATTTTGGAACCTGACTAGTGGACCCTGTAAGCACTTGAGTTTGCTACTCCTGTTCTACAAACTCTAAGATGCATTCATATTTGCAAACATGTCACCGGATGGCCCCAAAGGTGTGTTTTCTTAAGCTTCATTGTTTTTAAATATTATGTTTGATAACATAGGAAAGTAACTTTTGAGAAAGATGTGAATTCCAGCGGGTCCCTCTCCTTGTGCAGTTTTGCCAAGACACTGTGTCTTTATGTCTCAGCATCTGTGGGCAACACTTTGGGCAGGCATTCCAGGACTATTTTTTTCCTATTCAGCTGTAGCCAGGACAGTAAATATTGTTTTTAGTTGTGTGAACAAGAGAGAAAAGAATATTTCTACTCTTACAGTTATAAAGAGAAATGTCTCCCCTTATGCACTCAAGTCTTTTCATCCAAAAACTTACCACTAATGGCCCTGACTTCAGGTTTCTTAGGTTCTGGTCTCCTTAACTCTTTAGGCAGCAAGTTGTTTTCATTATGCCACTTTTTCAGACATTGTGGCTCATGGATGGCAATCGATTTTGTTCCATATTCACGACCACAAATGTAGCAAATGATTGTTGGTGGACGCCTAATCATTGCTGCCTACAAACAACAGAAAATGTCTATTAGATAATGTTTAGGAAATTATACTTCAAAGTTATAGAGTGTGGAAATTACATTTATTACACATTCAAATTAGCAAGGAAATCAATGTTTTTTAAAAATTCCAATCGGCCTGTTGAAGTTCACCTTCTTGGAAATTAAGAGAACCAAGTTATTTATCTGAGTGATTAGGGTTGGGTGAGGTTGTGGGTTTGGGAGGAGGATAGAAAATAAAGATGAGCTAAGCATAATTCTACATATTGGTACTTGATAAAATTTATTTTTTTATTTAATAAATATTGATCTTCTGATTATTTCCTATGATGGGATAATACAATGATAAATTAAGTATGAATCATCCTCTCAAAAACATCAGACCCTTGTACACCAATATATATGAGAAATAATGTGTCATTGGAGAGATTATAACAGTGTTATGCTGCCCACATTCTTTTGTGTAAACAACTTTGTACTACAAGTTCCTGTGATTCTCCGCCATTTTTTACCTGGAGTAGGCTCCACCCACAGGCTGAATAGCAACTCAGTTACAGGTGGAAGTTAGTGGATGTATACCCAGCTTCCTCCCTCGGGCTAATTCCAAACAGACTTCCAGAAGCCCCCACCAGGATTGCATCTCAATTGTTCATGAACACACTATCGAGGCTTCCTTCTCTTGTCTCTCCTCCCACTACTTTATTGGGGTTGCCTGGGATTACCTCCCAAACAAAGTACTTGAACTCAAATCCTTTTCTTAGCATTTGTTTCAGGGAGAATGAAATCTAAGGAAGAGTGAAGGTAAAATGCACTAGGGAAAGTAAAATGTAAAATGCTTCTATGGAAAGTTACAAGAATAAGGATAACCAATGGACACAGACACGGGGATGGAGGGGTGGGGGGGCGTGTTAGGGCATGTGCTAGGGGGTAGGGGAGGCCAGAGGGAGTTCAATGGGGGAAAAGGGAGACATATGTACTACTATTTGTAATACTTTAAACAATAAAATAAAATAAGAAACGTTGCTTCCAAACAAACCAGATAACCTGCAGAATCATAATTTTTGAGGCCATGGAGACTCTGAGTTGCAAGATAAATTAATGAACTAAAGGGATTGCCTAAGTTTGATGGTGGATCAGCAGAACCAAGAGAAAACCTCCCACACTCCAACTTTACATGAGTATGGACAGCAGTTGTCTGCTTCATAAAGGGGCAGGATAGATGACCAGAACCCCTCTCCCCCACCCAGGAGGTCTTACATCCAATAACAGGAGGTGACCGGCTAATGCTGAAGAGAGGCAGGAACATTGAGAAAAACCATCACTAAGACTAGAACTCAGGGCCTGCCTAACTCTGAGGGAAGAGCTAGAGAATTAGGCCTTGTACTGAGTACTGGATAAGAGCAGTTTACTGCTGGGAGATGGGGTGACAATAAGAGGACTCTCTTTCTGTTGCAGGCATGTAGGGTCCACCAGGGCCTAAGAGTGCAGCAGGAGAACGGGGAGAAGCCCTTTGGCTCCAGGCCTTACACCAGTGGTTCTCAACCTTCCTAATGCCGCAACCCTTTAATACAGTTCCTCATGTTGTGGTGACCCCAACCATAAAATTATTTTCATTGCTACTTCATAACTGTAATTTTGCTACTGTTATGAATCATAATGTAAATATCTGATATGCAGGATGTATTTAGGCAACCCCTGTGAAAGGCTTGTTCAACCCCCAAAGGGGTCGCGACCCACCGGTTGAGAACCTGTGCCTTACACTAAGTGCAAGACAGAGGCAGTTTACCACGAGGGGAATTTAAAGGCTGCAGTGCATAGAACATAACTAAAGCAAAGACAAGGTCCAAGCCCTGCTAAACTACAGACTCCATTGACAACCACTTATACTCACAGCCTGCCAGAAGAGGCATACTCATTTCTGGACATAAGTATAATTTACCTCAGAATATTACAATGTCCAGCATTCAATCAAAATTATAAAGCATGTGCCCATGCACACACACACACACACACAGAAATTAGGGTCCATGAGATCTTAAATGTAACCAGATCAAGGTATAGCCTACATGTTGTGATTATCAGGGTTTTTAAATACTTATTTAAAAAATAATTATTTTAATTAATACTTAAAATAATTATTTAAAATAATTCTATGTTAAAGAATCTAGAGGTGGGCAGCATGCGTAAATATGTGGGAAATTAAAACTGAGAGACAGAAAGCAGGTAAAAATTACCCAAGAAAACCAAAATGATAGGAAACTGTTAAGCAGGGGAGTAACCCATAACTGCACTTAGAGAAAGTTAGTCTGGTTGTAATGTATCTAAACCGGCCATCAGGGCAGCACATGTATGAGAGCTTGAACTCTCGTGGCATTGGGGATAAGGAAATCATGGTCCAAGAGAACGCCAACGTTTTATCCTAGGTAACAAGGAAGATGGTGGTGTAACTTCCTGAAAGGGGGAAATCAAGAAAGGCAGTTTGGGGGAGAAGAAAAAAATAGAACCTGTTCTGGACCTGTTGCATTCGACATAGCGATAGAATTTAAATGTGAATAAATCCAGCCTAAACTGGAAATAGAGGCTTGTAATTCAGGACTAGTGAGCTTCAGCGCTGTTCACACAGAAAAGACATCTAATACCATGAAAATTCCAGAAAAGGAGTATATAGAGTTTGGAGAAAAATTCTTGGGCGAATATCTACAATAAGGAGATTGAGCAAGAGAAAGACATAAAGGTTCAAGTTTGCAGTTCAAGTAACAGGGAATGAAGATACAAGACTCCATTCAGAATTCTGGAAATACTTTTGGTTTCCAGAAAGATGCTGTCAAATACTACAGAGAGGAACGGTGGTTGAAAAAGATAGTTAGATTTGGTTACCGATAGATTACAAATCAGTGACTTTCGAGAGTTCAGTTCCAATGGATATAAGAATAAAAACTAATTTTTTAGGAGGTAAACAGCAGGTCGAGGAGAAGAGGAATATACCAGTATGTGCAAAAAGTTTGCAGAGAAGAAATTTGAGAATTAAGTACCATTGAGGAAGGATTTGTGTTGTTGTTGTTTTTAGGATAGGAGTGTGTTTGGCAGAAAGAGAGAATGCAGGCCTAAGAGGAAAAGGATAATTAATTTTTAAAAGGCCTCAGAGGAGGAGATGTAATCAAAGGTGTAATGGAAAATGGCAGCCTCCGAGGGTGGGGAGGAAATAGATGAAGTTAGAGGAAGGTTGTTGTAGAGAAGGGAGGTGCTCATGGAGCTCACATAAGATGGACTTAGTTTTCTAAGGATGAGGCAGAGCAATCTTCAGAGAATAAAGCGATTCAAATTTTGGAAAATTGAGTAGTGAAAACTACTGGGATTAGGCACTGCAAAGAATGTAATATGATTTAATTAGAGAAGAATACTCACCCAGTAATGGAAAAGACCCAGTAATGTTGAGCTGCAAGAAATGTTAGTGGAATTAAAGGACCTTTTCCAGTATGTTCTTAAGTAGCACTGGATGGCATGAAAGCAGAAACTAAGTTGGTGGTGTGGTCTTCCTGGGGAAATAAAACATGGTAGTGTGTGTGTGTGTGTGTGTGTGTGTGTGTCTTAGAATTAGCCTGCTTTACACTAAGATTGTTGGAGGTTACACCTACAGCGCAGAAAGCACAGAGGAAGATTAAAATCAGAAGAAGCACATACATGATGTGTGCATAGCCAAGCAGAAACAACAAGATTATGGGTGAGTAGATCCACAATTAATTTAGACCAAGCAAAATGGAACATGGTGTTACTCACTGAGGATTTAATTTTTTTTTTTAAAAAAAGCACTTTAATTTGAGGCAGAAAAATTTTACTTTATTATTCTGTATTGCATTATGGTAATAAGTTGCATTTGTCAAAATAACTAAATAGTTGTCAATCCTTCCTTGTTATTAGCCATGTAGCATCTAACATTTAAAAAGTGACTTAAACATATTAGTGGAATTCAAGACTTAAGAGGAAGAATAAAGCAGAAGTAATAATTTTAGAAATACCCCAAAGTTCCTTACTATGTTTTACATATTTATTTACTTGAAACATTAATTAAATGCAGGCTTTTTAGCTTAAAAAGGAAAAGTTATTCTTTTTGCTTTGAGGATAATGAATTTATTAAAGTTCCCAATGGAAAGTACCGTATGAGCCAAATCCAGCATTTAACCAAGCGTATAAGCAAAATAAACGGCATGGGTCATAAATGAAGGCACTCATGTCACATTGTCAGAAGGTTTCTTTTAGGAGGAAAAGTTAGAAGAAAAAGAGGCAGGCACAGAGGCCAGAAGACACACAGAAAATTAATGCCATAAAAAGGCTGAGATGTTCCATATTCTATTTTCCAAAGCATCCCGCGTGCTCTGTATTTGTGGTTGAACTGCAGTTGAACCTGCAACATATTCCATATCCTTAGGTTTTGGACATCTCGCTCCTAAACCATGCTCTGGGGAAGTGCAAGCAACCCAGACACAGCCCAAGAGAAAAATGCATCCCTGTGGGTCTGAATGGAGATGAGAGACCCTCTTCTGTTGTCCGTTAATTTCATAATCGTCAGCCTGAAATTTCCAGGGAAAACGGAACAAGCTCCAACCTGTGGTTGTTGCCAGTACCCCAACTGCCAAGTTCTACCCTTCAGTCTCTTTGTCCAGCTTTCGGATGGAGGCGGATGTGTGGGGGTGGGGAGGACAGGAAGAGGAGACCCTAAGCCTGGTGGAAGGGACAGAGGCCTTTCTTGGCCCCGGAGCTAATGTGACCGGGCCTCGCAGAGCAAGGCCGGGCCATGGAAGGTTTGCCCAAGGACCAGTAACACGGAGCTTTGCCAGGGCCTGCCAACTCCAGGAAAGTGTAATCACAGGAAGGCAGAGGGGAAGCCGATAAGTCCGAAGTTCCTGCGCAGCCAAAGACTCCATCCACGGCTTTCCTGTCAACATTTCAGACACTGGAGGGGAGAGGCACTACTTTTAAAACACTGAAGGAAAAGATTTTTCAAAAAG